TCACTGTGTGTTTGAGATAAAGAAGAAGAGAGAAGAAAATGCACATGGCGTTGCCATCACCTGGTGTGTGAGATAGAGAAGAAGAGAGAGTATAAACGCACATAATGTTGTCATCGCCGTGTGTGTGAGATAGAAAAGATAGAAAGAACACACACGGTGTTGCTATCGCGGTGTGTGTGAGATAGAGAAAATAGAGAGAGGAGATAAGTTTGTGCATGGCACTGCCCATCGTTATACACATTTAGTTAGAGAGGAACAGAAAGAAACATCGAGAAGAAGAAGAAAGAGAATGGGACACACACAGCACCTCCATCACAGTGTGGATTAGAGAAAGAGAAGGAAGAAGATGATATGCACGGCTCTGCCACAGCTGTGTGTGCGTTCACAGAGAAGAAGAGAAAAAGCCGAGAAAAGAAGAAAGAAAAGAGAAAAGAAGTAAGAGAGAGAAACAGAAAGGAGGAAAGAGGAAGATAGAAAGGAGGGAAAAAAGAGATACAAACGAGAGAGAAAAGAGATAGAGATAAGAGACCAGAGGAGGAGAAAAAATCACCTTACTAAAGGGTATCGACCATTTTCTTCTCTCTCCGCTGTCTCTCTCTAAGACAGCCACGAAATAAAATCGTGACCTTTATTGATCAATTGAAAGTATCCGGGGGAATTAGGCCAGCCTTTTTACAATTCAAGAAGGACTTTTTACAATTAGGTTTAGCATGTACTTATAGAATTCGGTCCAAACATGGGTGGATGCCCAAAACTATCTCAACTGATGATAATTGCAATTTAATTAAATTAAAATAAATTACAAAAATAGGTGCAAAATGTCTATTTTGCCCCTATCAAACAATTCACGAAATTTCAAAACAATCCCTGCCACTGTTCTAAAATGTGCATGATCTTCCGTGGATGATCCCAGGTTGCTCTGGTGCCAGTTTATCTAAAAGATAATTGTTTTCTTGTAGGGCTCGACATAGCGATCGATTTGATATCAACTTCGAGCCATGGATCGTGTTTTAAGCCACGATCATGCGACTTGAAATTCCAATCCAAATTGAGAGCTGAAACATCAAAACATACACAAATAACTCAAAAAACAAAGAAATTCACAAACTAAAAAGGAAGAAACGTAAACAGGAGCAAATAAAAAGAAACTAAACTAAATAAAACTTCACATAAAAGACCCATGCATTTAATTAGAAATAAATAAAAAAACATATCTTTTACCATCACAATCAAAGATGAAGGTCTCCATAAAGTAGATTAGTTCATTGGCATCCTTAAGGTGCTGCGTAGAAGCTGTCATCATGCTAAATTTAGAGGAATTGGCCATTTTAGAGGAATTGGTCATTTTAGAGGATAACTTAGGTGTGGCTCCAATAAGTGATAAGATGATAAAAAGTAGATTTAGGTGGACTGGTCATGTGTACAACACCTATTGGAAAATACGAATTACTTCAAGTGGAAAGCTTGAACAAGACGTAAACCCAAAAAGACATGGTTGGAAATAGTGAGAAAAGATATGAAGGCTAATAGCCTCCTTGAGGCTATAGCCGTTGATAGAGTAGAATGACGAATCCGAATTTGTGTAGCGGATCCCAAATAGTTGGAAAAAAGCTGTGATGATAATAGAGCAGAATGACGGACTAGGATTCGTGTAGATAACCCCAATTAATTGGGAAAAGACTATAATGATGATGAATTAAACAAGGTTCCTTCCATTAATCCAATATAATACCAAACATTTAAATAGATTAAATGAATACTTTATTGTGCTTGGATATTTCATAAAAGTGTGAACCCCCTTTGATGCTTCCAATATTTGTATAAATAATAAACAGAATTGATTTTCTTTATACCAAAATTTCACTCAATGCACAAGCAGCCTGCACAGCCTTCAAGCGCAAACATATGCCAGTTATTTAAGAAATAGATATTTAAAAATTTCAGCTAACCATTCCATTTTGCCACCACACCAATACATTATAGAAGATAAGTTTGTCTCATTTGAAATAGCAACACGAAATCAATCACTTGAACATAAAGACAGAGTGAGAGAAAGAGAGAGAGATAGATGACAATCTTATGGCACGCGCATGTATGAATACACTAACAATAGAGCAGGACCCTATACAGAAGTATAGAATTCCTATAAAGCAATACATAATGAATTGCAATTCACTGCCAAAAGGACGCATGTGCTTCCAGCACGAGGAAGATCAATAGCATGGCAAATGTGTGTAATATACAGATTTCTGACCACAAAGCAATTGACATGAAGAAATAATCAAGGCATTTGGTTATTTCATGGAACTAAAATTTGAGAAAGCCCATCGACAGAACCCACAATGTGATGGAAAGGGCTAAGAAGCCCTCACCCTAACTTTTCATTGAAAGCAAATCCAAAATGCCGAACCCTAAACCCCCCAAATCAACTGAAGATAGTGAAAATTGAAACCATAGGAAATAAAGTGAGACAAATCGTCAATATTTATGCCTATCTACAGTTCAGAATGATTAAAGCCATCCTCTTCCACACATGGAAATAAAATAACAAAAAATAAAAAACCTAGATACAGAACCCATAAATCTCCAAAAAAGACAAGGATGCAGAATTAATCATCCATGAGAAAAAAGGAAAATAGCCCACCAATAAACCATTTCTACAGATTAACAATAAATGATTAATGACAAGAAAATTTACCTTGAGAAAAAAGCGAGATTCAACTCACTCGGCTGATCCTCGATGTTGCCTTCTTTGAGCAATAAAAGCCTCACCTCTGTCTGCTAATCCCAGAATCCCTCTCTCTCTTTCTGTCTGTCTGCCGGAAAACCAAATGGAAAGCTCTCTCTCTCTGCTACGTCAGCAGCAAGTGGAGGTAAAAATACATACGACCGCAGCGCCGCTCTCCACAGGGTGGAGACGTGGCAATGGACCGGACCCGAGGCGTAGACCCATATCGGGTTCCGGTACAAGTCTAAAAATTAGACCTAGCAGGTCAGGTCCGCTAGTCAGGTTCTAATAATATTTTTGGGTTACAATATATAAAATACATTAAAATATAATTAATTACATAGATATTTTAATTTTTTAAGGGTGCGGTTTATATAGAGCGTAGGCTCTAAACAATCAAATTAAAACTTACGTTCAAATAGTATCGAGAAATGTGGTTTCAATATTGTAAATCTTTGTGATAGACTTAAAATATGTTTTTATAATTATTTATAAAGTTTAAAGCTTCAAAAATCATGAAAATCAATATATCTAAGGAAACTTGAAAATTTTGAAAATTGACGGTCTAAAAATGCATTACAAAATGCACTATATCCCAAACTTGAAATCCATTTTTTTTCATTTGCATACATCTTGATGTCAAGATGATCAATTTGAAGATATTTGGGCATCAAAACAATCTCTTCTAGTGAAATTTTTGTGGTACGCTCAAATTCGATTGTTGAGAGCCTCGGCTCTATATAAACTTTTTCCTTTAATTTATGGGTGCGGTCGGATACCATATTATATTTTTGGGTTTGGGCCTAACTTTAAAGAATTCAAGTCCGGTCAAGTCTGAATCCCATACTGTTTTTTCCTATGGGTTGCCACCCCTAGGTGCGATGGAGGACTGCACTTCATGTTATTGGGTGAGACAACCCCTATTCCTCAAACCTCCACGCTAATTAAACTAGGAACTTGGCATATAGATAGGAACTTTAGTAGTTTATCAACTAAAGTTCTAGTTGCCAATTACATACTAAAAATAGTTTATCTCTTATGGGTAGTTTAGTTTGACAAATTTTCCATTTATTTCTAGGCAATGTTTGTATAAGGTGCTCACCTTATACTAAATAAGTAAGAAATACCTTTGAATTTTTCTAGAAGATGTAGTTCTGATGTCAGAAAACTGATGATAGCTTGAAAATCTATGTTCAACTTTAACTATGAAATTTTAAATTCTAAAAATAGTGCAGATCGAGCAAATCTATAAGCACTTGAAGATCTTGAAAATATATGGTCTAAATAACTTATTACAATATGCATTATTTTTAGGACTTGAATTTTTTTTCTTTATATTCATATATCTTGAGGTCGGGATGATCAATTGGAAGGTTTTCCAACTCCAAAACATTTTTTCCTATTGAATATTTGAGGGGCACCTTTTTTTTATGGTAAAAGGTGGCAATCTTATTTTTCTTATGCGTAATTTAGATTGATATATTTTTTCTTGCTATTAGTTTAATTTGATTAAATTTCAAATTCATATATTGGGTGTGGTTTGCATAGGCTTATAACTTTAAACAATCAAAATAAGGCGCACATACAAACTTTGTTGTAAGATGTAATTTTGGTGTAAAAGATCCTTAGGATGACACGATAATCTATTTTTTATATCTAATTGTAAAATTTTAAAATTTAAATTTGGTTCAAATCCAATAGGTGTGTAAGTACATATTTTTTTTTAATATGAGCGATTCTGATAATATATTGTAATATGTATTTTTTTTAAGAGTTTAATTTCTTTTTTTTTTTTTCGAGTATTTATTAACCTCTCGAATATGATGATCAATTAGGTTTTTTTCTAATGTCAAAACTACATTTTTTTCGATAGATTAGCAAGGTGCAACTTTAATAGAACATGATGGGGAACCAAATTAATGTAGTCGACCCTAATTAATTATAAAAAAACTAAAAAATGATGGTAATGAGTGAGGTGATTGAAGTTAGCTCAATAGCAAGGATAAGAGCTCAATAAAGAGATCCGTTTTTTTTGGAGGAGTAAACCCTAGCGAGCAGCTACGAAGAGAGGGGTCTGGCTTAGCCGCTAAGTGCAATGAGAGGGGTAGCTTAGTGCTGTGTGCGAACAGAACCTTTTTAGGGCACAAATTTTTCGGTGGAAGTTTTGATATATACTCCCTCTTTCAAGTTCCGACCATTTGATGGAACTTATTTTACATGAACATAAACAGTAAAGTCGAAGTTCCTTACTTACCTTACTGATTTAAGTTCTAAGTTCCAGGAAGCTGACCGCCTGACTTCCTGTTATCAACCACGCCCTATATTAACATTTTCCTTATTTTTCCATGAAGCGGCGGATTATTAGCAGTAGCAGCTGGAGGTAGGGGAGGTGGGTGGATAGGAAGAGAGCGAAAGCAGGGGTGGCGGCATGGCTCGTCTCCTCCTCCTGAGGACTCCTTCTGTCTTCCAACTTCGCCACACTGCCACCCTCCTCAACCAACCCCTCCCACCTCCTCTTCCTTACCCCAACTCGTCCGACTTTTCAGTGCGTTTGCGCTTGTTTCACGAACATCTTGCTGCTGCTTCGGCCTCTTCGTCCCACGAAGATGTCTCCTCCTCCTCTGCCTCTGTGCAGGGCATGCCCAATCCTCGTTCTTCGGACCATCCAGATTACAGGCGGTGGAAAGCCAAAGAAGAAGAGATCCTCAGAGACATCGAGCCCATCACTGATTTCACCAAGGAAATCCTCCACTCGAACAGGTCTCTCTTCCTCTCTCTTCCATTAGTTGGTTGTGGAATATGAAGCATTCAAGACAGACACTCGCAAACTAGCTAATCACTTTTTACTCAACACATTGCTGATACAAACAGACGGAAGTGATTACCTTGCATTGCATTGGCCCCTATTCTTGTTCTCTTTTTATTTTTTTGAGACAAATATTGGCCTCGATTTCAGTGTCGCTCATGGACAATGAGTGAACTAAGTTGATGTTCGTGATTCTTATATATCTCAGAACCTGTTTTCAATTTGCAGCTATGTGTAACACTCAAAGCTACTAAAGAAAAACGTACAAAAGGTTCTGTGATAATATATGGTGACTGGCTGATGAAATCCTTGTTACAATGGTGTCCATAAATTAATAGTTGATTATTAAACTGATGAATCCCCATATGTCCTCTTTGCTGTTCCAATTTTATGCTTGAGATAGGTTTCCTAATTCATTTTTATAGCGAGTGGAATTTTTAACTGATCTCAGTTATGTTTCCTGCACTGGCCTAAGAAAATGAAGTTTATAGTTAAGGGAATAGCCCGGAAGCGAAATTTTCATGTGCATTGCACTCCTAAACCGGTTGAAGGTACTTGGGCGTGATGCTCATTTTATAGTTGTTGGAAACACCAGTGATTCTGAGTCGTTTCAAGAATAGGAATCACTGAATTACCAATGGTCAAATGATTCGAATAGTCGGAATCACCGTCATTACAAATCTACCATGGATATCACATGAAGTGGAATTCCTACAATTTGGGAATCGCACCCTGATCCAATAGGAATCAAGAATCTTACCTTGTTGGAGCTGCAGTTCCATCAACTTGCATCAAGATTCCTAACTTACAGTAATCACACAAAAAGCCACTTGAAAGTAGACTAGAAATTATCAAGAAATGAGTTGCAAAGGTAAAAGATTTAACGTTTTAGATTATCTATAAGGAAGAATTCCTCAGTATTGGACTTCATATATTGAGTGCGCTTACCTAAGGCTCTACTATTATTGGCATCGATGTCTTTGACAGTCCTCCCTTAACATTGGAGTTGATGTATTGAGTGCCTTTTATCATAGTCCTCCCTTAACATTGGAGTTGATGTATTGAGTGCCTTTTATCATAGTCCTCCCTTAACATTGGAGTTGATGTATTGAGTGCCTTTTATCATAGTCCTCCCTTAACATTGGAGTTGATGTATTGAGTGCCTTTTATCATAGTCCTCCCTTAACATTGGAGTTGATGTATTGAGTGGCTTTTATCATAGTTCTCCACAAGTATCGGAAACAAGGTAAAGTACCTTTAACAAACTTCTTTCCCAGAGTTTTTAGATTGAATAAAGAAAATTAAATTACTTTATTTATTAATGATGCATCTCTTTCCTGACATCTCCAAGCACTGGAAGAAATGGGGTTATATTCCTTGCAATGCTGGTCAAATGCTTCTTCAATTGATTAATGCCAGCATTATACTCCTTTTTACAAAAGTTACGAGCTACCTTATTCTTGTCGTTAGGATTTGGACAAAATCAATACTTCTAACCTTGATCAACTTGTTTCTTCGAACTCGAAGAAGACATTATCACCTACAACCCTCAATTATCATCTAAACCTGAAAATTATCCTGAAAATTATACAAAACCACCAAAAGCGAACTTGAATACATTTATGACAAGTCCAATGTCTAGATAAATCCACAAAAGCCAAATTAGTTCACAGAAGAAAATTTTAACTACCCAAATATTGAGTAAGGAACACAACCCAATTAAGAAGGGGTTATAATTTAATTATTTACAAAATGATAGTTACTAAATAATTGTGTAGCCTTAAATAGACAATTCAAACTCGTTATTGAATCAATAACATAAATCATAATCATCAAAATATGCAATAAAGCCACTAATGCCACATTAAACATTAAAAAATTATTATCCAAAAAATTACAAATAGGCAATAAAGTAGAAATAATAAATACATTTTCCCTTTTCAATATTTTGACAATCCAAGGAAAATCAAAACCTATCGTGCTCAAGGAAAAAGCCTAAAATAAATGTCAAAAAACAAAATAAAACCTACACATCAATATGCCAATGATTTAAAGCAAAAATGATTAAAAAAAAAACACAAACATTGACCAAATTTAAAAGAACAACAAATCAACACCCAACTTTCATAAACATCTCAAAACGCTAAACCAAGAAATGAATACGCCAGAACGTCGCTCGAACTGGTGACTTTTGGTTGTCGAAAAACTTCGTTTACAATCACTTCAAGCCTAAAAAAGTATCGGATTGAATATCTTTGGATTTCATAAGAAATCAAAAAGTTTGAAATTTTTTTCGATCTACAAAAAAATATAAAATCATGCATTTCGGGTTGTTTTCAACCTCCAAATGTACACAAATGGGTTTTGGGGGAATGAAAATACCCCCAAAATGGGTTTTGGTGGATGAAATGCCCCCCAATACCCTTTCCTCCTTTTCTGGGGCGAAATGACCATTTTTGCCCTTGGTTAAGGGTCCTTTTCTGCCCTCGGCCAAGGACAATCATCGGGCCGCATTGGTGCCCTAGGCAGTCTGCCTAGGTGGCCGCTGCAGAGACATGGGGTCATAGAGCCTCACCAAGGTCATAGGTAGCGCGGTAAGGCTGCTAGGCAGCCTAGGCACCGAGGCGGCTGAAATTTTCATTATTGAAGATTTTTAGAACAAATTCTCGAAATTTGGGAATGATGTAAATTGGAGTTCGTTAACACCCATAAGATACCCATCGTATATTAATTATTAATAAATTTTAATATAAAATTTCAAATAGTGTGCAAAAAATTCCAACCAATCCCTACATTAATGTTGTGGATCTAGATTCCAAATATCTCTGATTGCTATTCCTAAAAATTGGAAGCAATTCTCACATTGCTTTGATCACGGTCTTGTGCACCTATTAATCACAAAATTTGGTGAAATGGAATCAGATTCCAATGAAATCGGAACGAGATTCAAAAATGTGAAATCATGATTCCTAACTTTCAGGAATTGGGATTTGTGGCGATTCCTTCACAAAAATGCGGTATTGCGATTCCGAACCGGAATCGCTATGTAGGGTGGATGATTCCAGTATCTATAGTTCATTTATTTTATTGTTAATTGAGAACTATGGTTTTCTGTTCTTTCTAGGTCATTGTTTCTGTACTTTGAATTGAAAACCATGATCTAATCTCTACAGAGATGAATTATCATGGTACTTAGATTAGGAGTCTTACTAGCTTCTTTGACACAAAAGAATGGGAAAGGGATGACAAAAAGGGTTCTTTGGATATGAAATTTTCACAGATACTTGATTTTTCCCTTCTTATTAAAGAAATAGATTTTGTGATAAATGCAATTGTTCATTATTTGGATCCACTAGGTATCTTAATTTAATCTTTTAAAATATTCTACTGGTCACAGGTACGTGGATGGGGAGTGTCTTACACTAGAAGATGAGAAAGTGGTTGTTGAGAAGCTTCTTGCTTATCATCCACATTCACAAGATAAGATTGGATGCGGACTTGATGCTATCATGGTAAGACTTTGCCATGGGATTTGTTTTAGAAGTCATTTTTCAGTTCTGGGTCTTTTGTTATATCCTTTCCTTCTTTTGCCACATTCAGGAAGGCAATACTTTTGAAACAGCAGCCATGTTAACTTTTTGGGAGATTTTATAAATACAAAAATTGGAAACATGACACATGGGCCTCTTAGTCCATACTCTGACTTCACCTGGTGATTAGGTCTCCTTCACTGGATCTCCTTGAATAATGTGTGCCTGTGTTGCTATTTTCTTGAGATTGCCTTTGAATATATGTGGAGAGAGTACGGCCTATAGAACCTACACATGCCTCAAAAACAAAGAGGTGTTGCAAATGATGACAGTATCAAACAAGTCTCGTCTTCTCCCTGCATATTGGTGATGTGCTATTTCCCATACGACCTATATTAGATTTCTAATGTGCTATTATCTGCCTTATTAGCTTCTGTCTCAGCTAGTGTGCTTTAAGTGGGGCCTTGTACCTCCAATATATGATAGTCCTCCTCGTATCCACGACTGCTTCAGGCATACAAATCTCCGCCAAAAATTGCCTTGCAGAACCTGCCAACAGCTTTGACAGAGTTGCCATTAATCACTAGCGAACTACATTGTCTTCTGAAGTGCTTTCACATCTATCCTTTTGAAGTCCAGAGGCTCCATCAGTGCTTGTTGGCAAAAGGCACATCCATTAATGAAAATATTCTCTCACCAAACCAAATATTTTCTTTACAAAATCAAATTTAGAGTGGATCCATCTATGCCGTCCTAAAACTCTCTTATCATCTCTGCATGAAAAGCTGCTTCACTTCTGAAAGACGATTATTGTGGGGCACATTATGCTGTTCTCTTTTCAACACGTCAACCCTCACCTCCTGAATGTAGAAATATGTGAGTTGCCTACTGTTACGAGTTATCCATATTGCAGTATCCTTCTTTTGGCACGAGTGTTATGTACTTGGGATATATGAAAGGTGGCTTCTACTGTACAGTTGTCATGTATTATATTTATTCCGTTCTTCAGGGGATGAGATTTGTTTGTTACTTAGCCTCCACTCTATGTTGTATGCAAACCATTTTATGGCCCTTTACTTTGCAATTAGCTCATTTGACCTAGTTCATTTCCTCAGGACTGCACAGTTGTCAAGGCGTTGATTCTCATCCATGCATGGCTATTCTTACTTGTCAAGCCTTTACCATATCATCTCTACGTACATTAAAACTTGAGAGCGAGTCTAAAAGCAGAAACTTAAGAGGTTTCTATAGAAGTGTTATTATAGGTTCACTGATTTTATTTTATAACAGTTACTAGGATGTAGGATGCCTTTTGTATATATTTCATATAGATATATTCAGTGAGAGGAAAAGACTAAATAAACCAAATGTATACAGTAGCATTGGCCAATTTGAAAATTAAGGGCCCATTAGACCGAAATTTAATTTTATACATATAGATCTCATCTAGGCGACCAAAAAAAAAAAATCACTCAAAGAAAATGGGGGAATGTGAGTTTGCCATATTTGGTGAACATTGGCCATCCATTTGGTTGACGGTTAATCTATGGCTTCAAGAACACAAAATTGTTTTCAGCCCACTCCACTCGCTATGTGTTTTTGGGCTCAGCTTGTAACTGCAATTACTGGTTTATAGAATTTCTTCCCTCAGTGAAAATATGGATTTATTAGGGGAACAATGGTAGAAGTTCTTCAAAACTCATATTTTAGTATATGCAATTATGTTTACCAATTTCCCTAGTATAACACCCATTGCTCATTTCCAAAAAAAAAAAACAGGGAGACTCAATGTATAATGTAAAAGGAAATTACTTGGAAGCTGTCCATTTCTACATCACTGAATGAAGCCAAAAAACCATGTTAGGAGGAACTTTGGGACCTGGAATTGTGTAGACATATCTGGATTTACCTTGTGATCAAATTGCAAAAAAATAATGATTTTGTTCTCGTAAAACTGTAGTTCTGGTTGTTGCACAAATGGATGGTCCATAGTTGTAGTTGGACTAGGAGTCTCTATCCATGAAATCGATGGTCAGGGCTTCTGTCAATGCTGCAGAAAACAGCTGGCCCATCCATACAGAGTTTCCTCAATTAAAAATAGGCTTTTCATTTCAGCTAAATAAAAACAATGAAGGCTTATAGTGGGTGTTTGCTTGTGCAACCATTTTAATCTTCTCTTGATGCCCCCTGAAGTATAGGCATATACTTCTCATATCTTGGGCCTATTCATCTAACATTGAGAAGTTCCAGTGGAAGGGCCCACGTCTCATGGGAAGCTCGCCCATGACCATTTTTATTTTCATTTTTCTTGAAAGTCAACTCAAGGTGAAACTTTGAGGGTGAGTTTACCTCATTGGGATGCATCTACAAAAAATACAAAAACTGAATTCACTAAAAAAAAAAGTGAACATGATACCGTATTTTGGTCATTTTATCTTTTAGCTTTGTTTCTAAATATATTCTTTATGGGTCTGTGTGGGTGAGAAGTATTGATAACCAAAACTTTGTTCAAGCCGATGTATAGAAAGATAAAATAAAAATTGCTTTGACATGCTCTCAAAACTGAAATACTCCAAGGTCCATGCTTGGTAACTTCCAAGTTTATCAAGCACGGGTTTCATAGTCCATTAGACTTCCAGACAAGTTATCCAACATTGTATTTTACAGATCTAAATACAAATCTCATAGCATCCAGACTTCAAAACTTCCTAGTATTCCAGCTTCCAATTGTCAAACGCACCCTAAGGATTTTTGGGAAAGTTAGGTTTTGGGAGGGGAGAATTGGTGGGGAAGCTCCTAGTCAATGTAGCATCACTTGAAGCGTACATGTTCCGAGGGATAGAGGACTATGACTTGCATCATTTCGTGATTTCTGCTCAAAAATATAAAATCCAGAACATCTGTCCACCAATAAAAAGGATTTCTGTATTCTATGGACTTCCCCAGGTCTTATGTAAAGTCTCAGAATGTTTATGTAATTCCCCAATCTTATGACTTGATCTAGTCTATAAGCCGCTTGATGACTTAGTTGAGTAGTGGAAGATGCATCTCATGGTCTGAGGGAGTTTATAAAGCTATGTCAAGACTTAGTGGGTAATTTTGTCATAAAAGCTCCACTAAGGGATGAAAAGAGAGGCAGAACTGTTGACCCTACTATATTTTTTATGCTTACCCAAAACATAGAAGAAGAAGACATATCTATTGCTTTTCCCAGCCAAAGCCCACTGAATGTTGATAAATTGGGTCACATGATTGATTCAGTTTCTCATTCAATTGAATCGAGTGAGCTCCAAGTCCACTTGATGAGTCATAGACCCATGCATCCAGCCTCCTGTCCCTTTCCCTTTTAGTTTATGTTTCATCCTTTTTTTATTTAACCTGATGGAAATGTTCGTCATCCTCCCCTTATTTTCAGTTTACGATTGTTTATTTACTATTTCCAGTTAAAAAATACACATTCTCCCCTCATACTTGTCTTGCCTCCCTCATTATTATCCATCAAAGAAGAGAGAAAGAAACAGTTGTGGAAACATCAACAAAGCACATCCCCCCTCATCTTGTCGTAAGCACAAGGCTCTGTAATAAGTAAAAGAGATCGCCCTTCTTACCACAACCCATCCTTGAAAAAAGAGAATGGAGTGAGAAGAGAGAATGGAAATGGAAAGTAATTAGTAATTAACTTTCCTTATATCTTGTTTCCCAAAATATTTGTTTTTTTTCCTTCCCTTGGCCACTCTTGTGTCTCAACTAGTTGATGTCGGGTTTGAGACATATAAAAGGGGCACAAGCGTCTTTGTACTGCCTCATGTCATCAATTTCTGGTTGATTTTTGTGCCTTGAATTCATCTCTCTTCCTTCCATGTAAAGAATTTTGATGCAGGCAATGGAGGAGCAAGGTGGATTATGTTAAGGCCGACCTTCATGTCTTGGCCACATTCTATCTTGTTTGTGTCAATTCAAGTGGGGGGATGTGGAGAGCGGTCCTGATGCTGCTGCATCACTGTGATGCGGTCAATAAATATAAAAAAATTCTAAATTTTTTAAAAAAATAGGTTAATGCGTAAAAAAAAATATGGAGGTGATTTATGTGATAGTAGGTATTTAATTTATTCATTAACTCCAAAAGTATCAGTTGTCGCCTGTCGGAGATTATGTATCAACTATCCCTTGATAGAAACTAGAAACTTGAAACTAGCTTCATAAAACATTGAACAATCATAATCAGAAGTCTGCAACCGCAAACTTTAAAGTTACAAAATGCAAACTAAAAGTCTATGAAGATTAAAGAGTTCAAAAGTCAAGCACAAGACAAATCATCATCATTTCTCAACTCTCAAGTCTTGAGATTCTAAATTTTAAATCCTAATAAGAGAAGTTATCATGAGAGTCTCCATGTGCATCATCATCATCATCACTATCATACTCGGCGGTCTCCACATATTGTTCTTCTTCCTCAGTCTCCTCTGAGTCAGCTTCCTCCTCGATGTCTGGAGCTGATTTGCAATAGGACCCAGCTCTACTCCTTTATGCTCTAGTGTTAGGCTGTTCTTCTTCATTAGCCCCTCTGGATCCTCACCCTCAAACACATGCTCTAGTCCTGGATCCATGGTCTACTCACGTGTGCAATCACCATCAGGTTCATACAATTGGATAGAGTTGAGATCCATGCACTTTTGATACCTCTCCCTGAGCCACTCATTTTTCTTCACATAAATCAAATCATTCAACTTCTTCTGCTCCAACCTATTTTTTTTTCTTTGGTATGGAGCTGTGGTAGAAAACAAGGAAACAAGCAAAAGTGACTGATGTTATTTTCTTGTTTCTACTTTTACACTTCTTAGATAAGTTAGATTTTAGAAACTTGAAATTTGAAGTCCAAGAAATAAGGACTTATATGCTTAAATGCACTCCAATTGCATTCGCAACCAAATGAGCTACATTTGAGACTCAACACTCGAATAGCGAGACGTTGTAGATTTGGT